TTTTCATTTTAAAATGTTTCTAACAGTCGTCTTCTACGTCAAGTTGTATTGAAAACGGATTTTCAGAGTCAGAATCTATATCACTATCACTATTGCTCCGTGCTTAAGTCGAGTTCTATCAGTTCATCATAAATCCAACTCGTTACGGCAGATGCTCTATGATTGTTTTCTGTATAGACATCAAACAGTTGCTCATAGGCGAACTCAAACACAGCTACAATATGTCGGATTTATACATATAGGTGCAAAAAGATGCAAAAAAGCTTAATAAAATTAGTTTATATACAAATTGCACTTTATTGACTCATAGTTACTTTTTGGCACAAGTTGGCACAAAATTTGTTATAATCCACAACAGACGGGTTAGCAGGTTAGCTTTTTTCTACTTTTGGACACCACAAATAAACGCACACAAAGAACACATTATCAAACATGAACAAAGTCTTTTTTAATACGAATATTCTACACACCTTTCCCTTTCTTTTCCATAATTTTAGTGAAAATTGCTTAAAGCACAACAATTTTGTCGCGCTCGCAAGTAAACAAAATCTTTCTCGCGTTTTTGAGTTTCGTACGCACGCAATCAAAGAGTTGACTTTGAGGGGCTGCCAAAATTTCCGGGATGCATCAAAACAATTAAAATCTTTTGATTCATTTTAGTCAAAGTATATACTTTTCAAATTTTATTATTAAAATAGGTTTACTTTCTATGAAAAATTTGAATTTTCGTCGATATATCGGTTCGCTGGCCCTATGTGCATAGGAACGATAGGGAAAGTAATAGCAAAAATTATAACTTCGTTGTTTTTTAACGTATTTTCATCTACTTTGAGGCATGAATTTTGGTAACAATATTATGAAAATCGGACAACTATATCATATAGCTGCCATAGAAGCGATCCGCAGATGTAGAGAAAATGTAAAGCTGGGAATGTATAACTGTAACTGTCAAACTGTAAACATTATAAGTATAGGTAAAATGTTATGAAACTCTGTTTAGTGTCTGTTTTCGGCATTATAATTTATGATATAAATATGAAAACCAATCTGCAAGGGTATACAAACTTCGGCGTGCCGAAGTTAGCTTCCTTTCTTGTTTCTTAATGACTTTCCTTAATTCCAATATTTTGTTTTCTTTGACTTCATTGTACTTCATGTTCTTGTCTCTTATTCATAACATATATAACATATTTATATCTATTGGCCGGTCAGATACAAGGTTTCCTGGATAGAAACTTCCTCCTACATAATAAGCAATCTGGCTTTCGTATGAAGAGAAGCCTGTTTAACAGCAATGACGGACATCGCAAAGGACATCAGACAACAACTTGACAAAAACCATGTTACAATCTTGACGCTACTTGACCATAGTAAGGCTTTTGACTCCGTGAATCACAATATTCTTTGTACCAAGCTAAAAAACTTATTTAACTTTTCTGATTCTTCGGTTAGACTGATTGCGTCTTATCTTACTGAAAGACTTCAAGCGGTTGTAGCAGGGGCGGTGACCACCGCCGTAAAAAAACTGACTCGTGGCATTTCTCAGGGATCAGTCCTCGGCCCTTTACTGTTTGCAATATATGCAATATATTGCAATATATAATCTGGGACTAACGTTCAACAACACCCTGTCTTGGGGCAATCACATATCGAAAGCAACCGGTTGAGTCTATGGTATCTTGCGTCAATTGGCAAATACCAGAAACTTTTTACCCGAACACATAAGACTCCTGATTTCCAAAACCATTCTGATTCTCACCCTGTTTTATGGTATAGAAATATTTGGGTTTGCGACTCACGGGACATGAGAAAATTAGTCACAGCCTTAAATTCTATTGTTCGTTATGTGCTTAATTTAAATCGTTTTGACCATGTATCACACTTGACCACTAAACTACTTGACACTGACTTAAACTCATGGATTAATCTTAGAGCCCTTTCATTTTTCCACAAAATAGTGGGAACTCATGAGTCTTCATATTTGTTCAACAAACTAATACCGGCAACTTCGCAAAGAACTAAAAATTTTATTTGCCCTCGAGTTCAAATGCTCAACTCTGAGAGGAACCAATTACCCCATGAGTTTAAAACTATTAGGAATGCAACTCAATTAAATTTCAAAGTAAAACTATTTCTAAGTAACAACGCATAAAAAACAAGCAAACAAAGAGCAAACTAAATATTAATACGTAATTAAATATAAATAATATAAAAAAAATATATAAAAAATAAATTAATTAATAATAAACATACATTTTTAAATAGAATAAAAAAAGTTTATAAAATAATTAGTTTATATAATAATTAGTTAATAATAGTCAACCTTAAAATAATTATTTATCACCAACTGTACTAGGTTTTAAGTTGCAATCCTGCCTAATTTTACCCCATGTGACCAGGGCATTAATAATAAGTATTTTATACTTGTAGCACTGGGCTAATTTTTTGAAATAAATAAATAAAATGTCCGGCTCTCCGGTTCTGGCATCTCTAGAAGATGCCTCCATGAGGAAGCCAGTTTGCCTGCCTTTGCGAATCACAAGTTGATCTTCAAGGACCTCGAAAACCGCGCAAGTATTATCTAGGTCTATCTAGAAATTTACCGGACAACTAAGGGCCATATTGGCATATCCGTGGCCCCGTGAGGACCGTCCGGGCTAACCTAACTTAACCATTTTTTTATAATTTTGTATTTAAAAACGGACAAAGTATCCACTTTTGCTATATATGGCCTTTTAATGGTTTTCAGCCTTTTTAATATTTGGTCCACAGACCCTTAATTAGGAATTAGATCACGACTCTAAACTGGTCACTATATTAACTAAAAACATGGAATGGTTAGCCAAATTTGATAGATTTTTAGCAGTGTTTGCGGTTCATCTTGTTGAAATATTATTTCGACTAACGGGTAAGCACATTTGTCAACGAAATATGGTAGATTGGTCGCCAAAATATCAAGAAAAGGTTATCTTTTCAAAATGCGATCGATTTTCAAAGATGGACCACTGGTTAACCCCACAATATCAACACTTTTCCTCAAGCTTTATGGGTCCTTAAATTGAGATGTTTTTTATACCTCATGTGGCTCGTGCTAGTAGTACTTCATACCTTCAGACTGACCATATTACACTTTTCCAATCCTCTACCGTCAAAGACCTATGCTACTTAAAAAAATTTGAGACGTCGTGCTACTTTTATTTTTAGAGATTCCAGTTTTATTCTGTTTAACTGACGATGTCAGCCGTATTCGAAATAATATTTTAACAAGATGAACCCCCAAACACTCGGCTAAAATCATGAAAATTTGGCAAACTAATCCACGTTTATAGTTTATATATGTAGGTATCGATACGTTGTGCTCTAGAAACAATTGGCAATAGTGCAACTATGGGTCAGAAAACAAACGAAGTGTAACGGATTCCAAAAGAAATTATGCTACATTTATTTGATAGTATGCCCAAAGGCATTGAAAACTTTTAAAAAGCTAAAACGTTCAAAAGTTAATATTTTGACGTATCTTTAAATAATAAAAAAGTATATAAAACAAGGTAATATTTGACTCTTTCTCTATTTTATGTATAGTAGAAATGAATAAAGATTATGGGAAAACAGATATGAAGGCGATTAATACATTTTTACGAATTTGACGACATTTTGAAGTCAAAAGTATCCACATGTGCTCGCAACTGCAGTACACTGTATATGAAAAAAAAAACTAAATATAAAAAAAAAAAGAAAAAAGGAAGCTAATTTCGGAACGCCGGAGTTTGTACACCCCTGCAGATCCATTCTGGTGAGATTATTAGAAAAAAAAAAATATATATATATATTTCATATAATAATTTGGTTTTGATAAAAAAAATAAAAATAAATAACTATATTTTAGATTTAAATATCTAATATATTAAACATTATAAATTTAAATGCTGGAAAATATACAAAAGAAAGTTTCATAACTGTTTACCTATACTTATTATATTTACAGTTACAGTTTCACACTCGCAGATATAAATTTTTCTGTCCATCTACCGATCGTTTCTATGGTATTATTTAGTCGTCCGATTTTCATAAAATTAAAACCGAAATTCTGAAATAATAAAAATCTCATATCTCAAAGTAGCTAAAAATACGTTGAAAAACAACGAAATTATAATTTGTATACCCTTGCAGGCTATTATAATTTCAGTCAGAAGTGTGCAACGTAGCGAAGGAGACATTTCGACCCTATAAGGTATATATATGTATGTATTCTTGATCGCCATCAACAGCCGAGTCGATCTAGTATTCAGAAGACTGACTATATGCAGAGTTTCATTTAGAAAGCTTTCAAACCGAGGGACAAGTTTGCGTAGAAACGGACAGATGGTCATGGCTGGATCGACTCGGCAAAAACTATATGATAAAGTCATCAGAGTAAAACTGGAATTTTAGCATTATTTAAAAGAACTTACAACTCAGAGTAGATGAACATGAGTGAAAAACAAAAGTTTTTTTTCTTTTAATTTGCGGAATTGAACTATGTATATCATGCAGTAATTCTTTCCGCATAACTAATGAGATTGACAGCTCTAAAAGTGAGAGACTAGTTTGCACAGAAAGGGATATAAGGTCGGGAATAAGTCCTTTGCTGACCTCGAAGCCTCTGTTGAAATATATTATAACCTGCAAGCGTATTAAAACACATTTCGAGCTTCCACTTGGTTCATTTTGCTTAGTAACTGATGCTTTGATAGTTCCATTTCAAGCAACAAAAGATCGAAACCTCAAAAGAAACCAAAACCATATTTTTGTTCAGTGTTAACATTGTTTTTTTTTTGTTGGGCGGACGCATAAAACAGGATAAGCACATCTGTCAAATTCAAATGTTTATATTCTATGCTAATTAATCAGCATATTTTGATTTTTAAATTGTCTTCGGTAGAGTAAAAGGAGTCCCTGCCTTTATAGTTGTAATGAAAACATCCTAATATTACTTAACAAATTAAGTGTATTTTTTAATCTATAGTACGAAGCAAAACTGTAAATACATTTTATTGACATCGATCGAAATGATTTAAAATGACATTTTTACTCAATATTAATGACAACCACAAAAAAACCGTCAGTTGGATTTTTTTTTTCGAATTCACTTATTAAAGTGGGAATGTATTTTATGGGAACAACGAAACAGATTAAGTTCAAAAGAGGATAACTAGGTTTGGCGAAATATTACACATTTTAATTAAATAGTTATTTAATGACGTAACGTGTGTCAAAACACAAAAAATAATAAAAATAGGTTTAACAAATATCTTGAACCAAACATTTCAATACTATTATTGGTCAGCGCTGTATATGAAGACCAAAAAGCTCTACCACATAAGCCATAACAGTGACACTGAGGTGATATTTTTTAATTAGTTGGCAGTCACTCTGCTATTCATATAGAACTGTTGTGCTGACAGCAGTAATGTCAAAACGTATATGCATGCAGCAATCCAGCAATTGTAGGCGTTCTGAAAATTTTCAAAATTCCGAATTAAAATGTGAACAGTAGAAATATCACCAGTCCCAATAATAACTAACCTGTTTGTACGCTCTATTTGCGGCTGTATAAAAGTCCTCCAATGAATGGTATTCCTCCTCCAGCGGCAAATCCTCTATAAGAGCCACACTATTTATGTAGAAAAATAGGCCCATGAGCACCTAAAGAATTGAAAAAATTGCTCTTATTATCAGACTATAAAAACAGAAACCTTGTGACCCTTAGTGGTGTGCAAATGAATCAGGAAAGTTATGTATATACAAACATATGTATACATATGCTTACCAGTTGGACAATGCCCCAAACTGATATTATCAGTCCGCACAGGGACAATTTGGGACCACAGATTTTCATCTTGACGACTTCCAAAAACTCAGCTAGGCTCTCCAAATATTTTTTATCTGCGGCACGGAGACTTTTCTGTCTTCGAAGTTTTCTCTTTAGCCAAAGTCGTCAGGTGAATATCATGTGACCAAATTTCTGTGTGACCATGCAGCATTATGAAAAAAATGTAAAGTCCGTCAAAGTAGCATCGATGCGTTCGCTTCGGTAAGGAAAGATGGGAAAAGGAACACGGATGGTATATTTTTCAATTTGTTTATAAATAAATCCTAAATCCTTAGTCCAGGTGTGTACTTAATAATATTAAATAGGAAAATTTAAAGGCATTGCAAAGAAAAAACCGACCCGCTGTGACTTTGTAAGTGCAATAAACAATTATATTTACCTAGCACTATAGAGGGAAATTCAATATAATAAACGACAGGAAAAACTTTTTCATTAAATGTCATTATGACAAGGCTCATTATATGAGTTAAATATTAAAATGGTCAGTTTAATTACATAAATAAATATTATTGGGCGGAGACTGGCTGTGGGGCTTCCGGTTATTTGCCTTCAGCTTCTTATGCGATTATTACATTAGCGAATTTATTAGAGACGTCATTAAAGATTTGACAGCGCTATAGCGTTTTACACAAGTGCGAGAAAGACGTCTATATGGCACTCGAATGCATTTGAATAATGCATTAGCTACTTCATTGCCGCGAAAATCGATAGATCTACATAAAAGATACTCGATAACAAAATACGGTTTTAATGAAGAAAATTGTAATAGCCATATGACACTCTATTGCAGTTTTCATTAATTAGCTACTTCATTAATACCTTGAAAGAGACCACTATATGTGTAATTTTGCTTGTATTTTGCTTAGATTATTTTGGTAACACGACTACGGTCACACCGACCGTAAAAGGTAAACAAAAAGAACGGGCGCCATTCGCGGCGTTTTACTATGAATTTCTGAATTCCTCGTCGAAATATTCTTGCATAAATAAATGCAGAATCCTTTAAATTTATGTTTTTAACCTATAGTGCTTAAAGTTTTTTTAATTTTTACCAAAAAAAATTTTAAATTAATTTTACAGCGCAAGAACCTTGCCACCGCAAAGCATATCATTTTTCCTAATTTTCTAATATTTTTTTCAGTTCAAAAACCAGCAAAATGATATAAAAATAAAATTCTCATTGTGAGACCATACTGTCAATGAGCAGGCATAAGGTTTTGCCGTTCCGAATTTTCCCAAATGGACCGCCGTTAGAACGCATTCAAATCTAACCACGGTTTGTTTGGCGATAGTTAGGCGATAGTTTTTCGCTGCAACTCTGATTTCTTCTTCTTAACAGTGAAAATTTTACCAACACTACGAAAAATGTAAACAAAGTTGGCGAGGAACAATTGAAAAATGAAATTTAAAATGTGGCGCCAAAGCTACAAACATGCCCAAAATAGTTGTTGGTGTTTTTCTGTATATTCTTGCCCCAATATGTCCCCAATTGTTACTATTTAATATAAGCCGCCTACCTTATTTTAAAGATTTTGGATCCCTATACCACCAATAGACACTCTTCGGGGAATTTGCTCTGTGTTAGAGAAAAATCATTAGAAAAACAAAAATTCCTTGTCATTTAATTCATTTAATTTTAGTGCGGATAAATTCTGACGCAATCTGTGCTTTTGCGGTTGTACAACAGCCAAAATAGTTGGTAAATTCTCCATTTCAAAATTGCAACTGCCAATTCCACAGTCTTTGTTTACGTTTTCATGAGCCACAGCTGATCGATCAGCTGTTCGGATGGCGGATGCGCTTTAACGCAACTCTGCGGGAACACGAGTTTCACTTTTTTAAAAATCCCAAACGTTCCTCACATATGTGCTGTGTGGGAAGACAGTATTACATTGCAAATTTTCGAATTTTTAACTGCCAAGAATTCAAAATTACACTGAAAAACCATCATCTAAATATCGGCTAAACAAGTCCTTAAAATTTGAATGGAGAACAAACTGGGAATTTCCGGGACGTCAAAACCTTATGGGCCCTTCTGTTCAACGAATGGTGAATGGCAGAAGGGTTTCTGTGGAAAGAGCCTATAAGGCTTTGATTGCCTTTTTTATATTTTGGTAGGCTTTTAAGACCAACGATTATATCAAAATAACAGAAAAATCTTCCTACTTAAGGTGGTTGGCCCATATGACGGTCTCAAAACTTCGAAAAAAATTGTTTGCATTAAGCACTTTCTTTACTTATTTACTGTTTTAAAAGAATTTTGGCGATATTCGATGGCTACAAAGTTACATTACATAAGAAATCTCTTCAGAGCAGCTTACTACTGCAATGCTTATTTCTTTTGCATTTTTTTTCGAAACCACGTTTTTCCAACTGGCCAACACGACTATTACCGTGAATTTGTAGAATATTTTCAGCATACAGGCAGACATCGCATGGACTAGAGTCTTTTGGATAGGTCAAGTAGTTTTTTTACCCTGCAAAATAGACAAAATAAATTCGTTTTCAAAAAAAATAAAGTATTTTTTTTATATTTTCAAATCATCCTGGTTTATGCGTTGTTTGCATTCATTCATATCACAATGGATATGGAGATATCTCAACAGAGACGATAAAACAATGTTATAAACCATATTTTAAAAAATGGCGGACATATCAAGTAAACGCCTCAGCGCCTCGAGATTTGAGTTTCCCGCCTATGGACACAATAGTGCACGTAATTTGAGTCGGAAATCCGCAAACAAAATTTGTTTGTATTTATTACACCTTTATCTTCTATTAGAACCTAAAAACCCAAAAAGAAATTATGACAAAAAAATTAAATTCGGTTTTGAAGGAAACGTGCCATTTTCAGGCAATCAGATTTCACTAGGTTCAAATAGAAAATAATTTCATGATGATCATAATAATGCAAAAATTAAAAGCTAAGAAAAATCCGTTTAAAGTTTTTGATGCGCCCACATTAACACTTGTATACCCTGCGTATATACTTGATTTGAGGCACTCAGAGTTGAAATTCGATAATGAAACCTACATATGTAGTATATTCTTTAAGTAATAAACTCTTTTTTAAAGCAAAGAAAACAAAGAAATTTTGGTTTACAAAAAAAAAAAAAAAAAAATGCTTAAAAATGTTTGGTTTGGATGTACATATATCCCCCTTAATAACTACTAAAAAAAATAAAGATGCTAAGTCGTATGCGCTCTTCACGAGTTGTTTTAGCTTCCTAAAAGAAAGAAAGATTATTACAAAAAAATTAAGCTTTATACAATGACAGAGCTACATCCAAGGCAAAGTCCTTAAAGTATGTTTAAGGACGTTCCCGATGGATGTTTCTGATTACTGTCAACCACAATTGAAAGGGTTAGGCTACACGTACGCTATTGTCAATTCTGAAATTATCTAGATAATAGAATAGAATATCCCAACAAATAAAATATTTCAGTTTCTTTTTCTTTTGTTTGTAAATACTTAATTTTTTTAGATTACATTCCTGAAGTTAAATAATATTACCATTACATTGACAATATGAACCTGAACTTACCAATACATACATATATTACTTCAAAAGCCGCACAGAATACTAAAAAGAAATACTTCATGGCTTCACTTACGAATAATATTAGAAATAAAATGCAATGTAGAAAGGCTTAAGGTAAAATTGCTAGCGAATATAAATTAATTCGGTAAGGGGCTTTTATGTGTAGATGAGTCGAACGTAATGTGTTCATCCTGCGGTAATGTTAGTTTAGTTTAATATAAATTTATTTGTTCTTGTGGAACTCCTCCACGCACAGTTTGCAGCTCCAAGAACCCTCTGGTGGTGTGATGAGTGGTGGCGAAAGACAGTACATATGGTAGCCACGGTCACAATCGTCGCAGAACAGTAGCTGGTCGTCATTGTCGGAGGTCCCACAAATAGAACAGTACTTGCATTCAATGCATTGCCATCGATAACGTTTCACCGATATAATCATATTCGCTGTGAACTGAAGACACGATGGATGGCCAGAGCGACCGCAGTCTGAACACGACACAAGTTCTTCGGGCATATTGGTTTTTTTATTTTCCCGCTGATCGCCGAGGCAGAAATCGCAGTATGGAGATGGTTGAGCGATGTCGCGTTCAACGCGTTGCTTGACTTTCTTGGGACTTGCTCCAGCAGTTGAAGACGAATGATTCCCTGCAGAATAGCCTGCCGGAGCACTAGATACGTTGGATGTTGCCGAAACCATTCCCATGCTCATGCCTCCAGCGACGCCAGTCATGGTCGCTAAAGGAATTGAGTCATTGGAAGCTCCAGCATCACTTAAATTCTTTTCATATGACAAAGCTATGTTGTTTGTTGGCGTGAGCAGTGCTGACTGCGAAGATTCATCGTTTGTGGGAATGGGTGAAGCAGAGTTGGAGTGGGATGCATAGATACTACCTGTGGCAGCAGCTGCTGCTGTGCTAGCTGCATGTGCCACCGCTGCGGCAGCTGCCGCTGCAGCTGCAGATGTATTTGCATTATTTCCACCACCACGACGCCTTCGATCAGTTTCTCCTTCAACAACGTTCCTTCGACGGTTACCTGGAGTAAAAATATACAAAAAATGTTATAGTTAGACTAGATTTATGACTGATTTTTATGATAGGTTTTCCTGTCAGGGACAATATGGTGGAAAACAGCAAAGTATTAACTTATTGACCTTTAGGATAAATAAGAGCCTCTACCGAAGGATCCATAATACAAACTGTTTAGTTCATATACGCATTGGGGTTAATGTTTCCTACAGTATCATCAATAGGCCACGTTTCATCAACGTGTCACCGCGCTTTAAATTTCTCTCTTCAAAAAAAAAAAAGAAAGGTTGATAAATTGCTGATGAAATGTTTATGACAAAAAGGACGACATTAACGAAGTCATCATAAAAAAAAGTTTCGACCATTTCACTAATGACAGCCTAGGATATGCAAATTTCATTAATAATTTTAATGGACTTTCATCACTGATTAATCAACAACACCGACCTGTACTGATGACAATTACTGCCGGGTTTCCATCGCCCCTTTTACCCCACTTGTTAAGAGGTGTTTCTATTAGAGGAATTTCAATTTTTTAAAGTTAATTCAGAGGTCAGATTTTCCGCGGGAAAGGATG